CTCTCTCTCTCTCTCTCTCTCTCTCTCTCTCTCTCTCTCTCTCTCTCACACACACACACACACACACACACACACACACACTTTCTGGGTAATAGGAAGCATCTGATCTATTGTTGGAGTGTTGCTGATAAACCCCGTCTTGTTCTATATTCATGTTGTTAAATTATTGTGCAATGAGACAATTTTCATACTGAGATATATGGCCTAACTGTAAAGCATGGTTTGGGGAAACAGTTCCAACAAATAACAATAGCTTTACATAGTACATATAATAATCCAGTTCTTAAGAAGACTTAAGGATTGGTTTTTTTTAAAAAAACATACATCACTAGATCTTAGAAAAGTTTAATACCAATCCTTTAGCGGCAGAGAAATACTTTTAGAATTGCAAGGATTCTAAATTCTGGGTAATAGTTAGATTTCTTTAATTGTATTCATAAAGTTTGTATCTTTTCCCACACTAGACACTTGAGAATAAGAAATCTGATCTGTTGGATTTAAAGAGTGAATGGTAGCTGGATGTGCAACTTACATTCAGGAAAATGAATTCATTTATAGAAACTAATGAATATGTACATGATTCAAGCTAAAGTGATATTTTTCTCTGTCATAATATGGTTATTTGTATGCTATGTTTTTATGACAAATCATACTAAGGATAACTTATAAGAATATGGTGAGAGCTTTATATTTAAGGTTGATTCACTAAAAATTATAAGATGACAAAAATTTAAATCATGAGGATGGAACACATTTTAAATAATCCATGATACAGTACAAGACCTACAAAAATAATAATGCAGCATGGGCTAAACAGTAAAACTAAAAAACAAAACCTGCTGGAGGCTCTAAATTGGTAATATTGCAAACTTAACTAAGGATACTATATGTGTAGTTGTGCTTTGATGTCAACCCTGTAAGTTAAGACTAAGAAATCAATGCCACTAGGTCAGGACTACTCTTACTATAACAGTTATAATAATAGATTCTTGCAAATCTGAATGTACTTTCTTCCTTCCTCAAAATCTTAATGTGAATTAGGAGGAGTTTCTCTTAAGCATTTATCCAAACAAGTTTCTTCAAGAAGACTCAAACCAGGCTTGCCTGATCATTGATTTAGTAGAATTTCTTTCTCCTATTCTTGAAGGTTCTCTTTATTTGATAAAACAAACGTGTAGCCCAAGTTTATGTATTTTAATTGACATATATTTTTGTGATTCCAGAAAAAAAATGTATTTTCTAAAATACAGTATATACGATTGCAATATTTTAAAGTTTAATAACCATTTTGTAAATCCAGCTGAATAATAATAATTCTGTATCATCTGTCTATCATCTACTGCAAGGGTGTCAAACTTGCGATAACATGCAGTCACATGATATATCGCAACTTTTTCCCCCTTTGCTAAACTGGAGGTGGGTGTGGCCAGCACGTGGCGCATCTGGTCCACCAGTGGTGGGATTCAATTTTTTTTACTACTGATTCTATGAGCGTGGCTTGATGGGTGTGGCAAAGGAAGGATACTGTAAAATCTCCAGTCAGAAGTGGTATTTGTCAGTTCTCTGAAGTACTCAAAATTTCTGCTACCGGTTCTGCAGAACTGGTCAGAACCTGCTGAATACCACCTCTGCAGTCCACAGGCTGTGAGCTTGACACCCCTGATCTACTCTGTCTGTCTGTCTGTCTGTCATCTATCTTTATATCATTTATCTATCATTTATGTATCTACATAAAGCTTTCTATTTAGGCAGTAAACATATTCTAATCTATGATGGAATTTGTCTCCTTAGTTACATTCCTGCACTTGCTTATAGTTCTGTGTAGTCTTACTTGGAACCATACATGTTCAAAAATCTATAAGATCAGTTGCGATGTATGGACATATTTCTTTTCACTAAATATAATCCTACATGTAATTATTGTAACTAGAGAGGACTTCTGCTTGGCAGGATTCCAGCAGGCACATAATATATCACATGTTAAGATACAAGAAAGTACATCCAAATAATTTAGAAAACATTTGTTTCCAGTTAAATTCAATTTATTATTCAGTTGCTTGGTGGCTTTGCAATGATTGGTTTCAACCATTAAAAGAAACCATGGTTTCTTTAAACATGGTTTGATTCACAAGCTATGATTGGCTAGATTGATTTATGTTATTGTAACAAACTATGGTTTGCAAAGGATGGAAGAGCCAACTGTTTAATGAAATGCTAAAAGAATTGTGGTGAAAATACCCTATAAGTAGAAAAGAACTGTAATCATAAATCTGTTACTTTACCTTTTAAAACTGAAAAGCTAATAAGACATCCCATCTGAAATAATCAGACACTCTGTTAACCAGGATGCTTGTCTGACTGAATCTAACATGCAAAATTCTGATTATCTGCAAATAATTATTCCAGCAATAATTATTTCTGCTTCCATTCCCCCCCTCAATTTCTAATGGAATTAGAGTATCTCCATATAATCAATTACCTGTTCATTTTCTATTGAATTGTTCCAACCTCCATTAAGAACTTTGTAAAGTCTATTCAAGAAAAAAAGCTTTAATCACATATTTACTGGAAGTTGCTTTTAGCTTGATGTTCTAGTCCCTACAGGCAGAATTCCTGTCAGCAGCAAATAACATTTGTGCTTACTAGCATTTTTGTTGCAGAGACGTTTAACTTTACACATTATCTGTTTTTATAATTGTTAATGTATGCTCAGTATGATTGTTTTGCCTAAAGGCACCATATGATAAATAAAACTTAGACATTAAAGTGAAGACAGTTAAGAACCAAACAATTATATGCATGTTTTTCAAACCTGCCCCCCAAGGAAATGTTAATACATACTCTCAAATAATAAATGGATTATATATGATTTGGGGGAGTTTAGTAAATAATAATCAAAAGCTCTGCAATTCAAGCTTTCTGTCCCACTGTTACTTTTGTTAGTTTTATAACAAATGTTGGAAGTAGCACAAGTAAATAAAAGGTGATATGATTTCCTTTAACAAATGCTTCTTTTTTCACTGGGATGTCACTTCTATAACACTGGGATGCATTCCCTTCCCCAAAAAAACTTTTTAAAAAGTTTTCTTTCAATTATTAACAAATGGGTGCAACATGACTTGGGTCAGAGTCTGCCCCAGATCAAATCTGGATCAGGCCTTACTTAACCAAATTTTGCGTCCTTCTGTCATCTCATCTCTTTTTCCTTCTTCTCATTCCAATAGTTTAGCAAGCCTATTTTTAGTACACACCAACTCAAAGATAGCAAATATTCTTCCTTTCTGTTGAAAACAGGCTGGGATTACAAATCTCAGCAATGGGAATGGTACATTAGGTGCAGGCAGTTTCCTTTGGAGTCTTCTCCTTGCAGAAGAGAACCTTCTGTTCAACAGCTGAAATATCCATTGTTTCCTTCACCCATCTTACATGCTTCTGGTAAGTTTGGTGAGATCTTGTTGGAGTAGAGGAAAAGGAGAACAATAAAAAAGGACAAAAAAAAAAATAGGCTGTAAATTCTATTAATGTTCTGTTGTGAGAATGGTCTATAACAGGGGTGTCAAAAAAGGCCCATGGCCTGGATCAGGCCTGTGATGTGGTTGAATCCAGCCCATAGAGCCATCCTAGAAAATGTAAGGGGCCAGCCTGCGTTACTTCAGCCCCGGTCTACCTACGTCGCTTTGGCCCGGTCTACCCAATCCGAAGAGGAAACATTGGGCCAGTGTGGCTTCGGCCCAGTCTACCCAGTACAAAAAGGAAACATGGCAGCAGTTTGGGGAATGGAGTCAAGCTGGCCACACCTACCCAGTCAGCCATGCCCCCCCCCCCCCCCCCTGTCAAATTGAGTTTGACACACCAAAAATCTTCATCCAAAGAATCGTTTAGGGTTAGGATCTCAGGAAAATCACTGACATAAGGCAGAAATATCCCAAATTCAGCCACAATATACACAAATGTGAAATGATGAAAAACTTCTGATGATGGAAACCTTATGTTTTCTTCAGGAATATACCAGGAATAATTGCATCTGTCCCACAAGATAAATTTAATCAGTCTAGGTCCTATAAACCAATATTAAACAAAATATTAAATTCCTCCCTTGATTTTAGTGAAATGAGGGGTACCCAAATGTCCATAGGGTCAATAAATTGCATAGACTTTGTCATGTGTAAACTGGCACTGATATGGAAAGAATGGATTTTCCACTGTTTTATTCACAGCATCTGTTTCCAAACCAAATCTGAATCTCTGTTCTTATTTTATGCTCTCTTCTAAAACCAGAATAACTAAGTACTGATCTGAATTGTTAAATCAATAAAATCTCCTTTAAGTCAAGCTCATTTTTTGATTTCAGGGACACCCTGAAAGTGATTTTCTTATCAACAGTGCTGAATTGATTTTCTATTGTTTTCTTCTAAAATGTGGGATGCTCTTTGGTAGTCTATGTAGCTTCAAGGCACAGACACAGCCAGGTACTGCGTCCATGTTTTATTTTATCTTTCAAGACTTTTCTTTTGAAAAGAAGGTCAAATACCAAAGTGATTTTACACCAACAGGCTAAATGTTCCTTTTAAATTTACTTACAGACAAGATAGATTGTAAATAAACTTTTGATCAGGTCACAGTGACTCAGGTGGTAAGAGAACCAGGTTATAACATCAAGAGAGAAACAAATATATCTCTGCCAATGTAAATAATGAGCACACTACTTGCAGGTGCCAAATCAGACAAGATGATCATGTATATTATAACAAAACACCCAGAACATTATACATCTTTACATGGCTGTGATATGTGTCACCAGGCTTATTGAAAAACAGTTAAAGGTTTGCTACAGTGCAATAATAAGTGTAGGACTCATAGAGTTATAACTTGTGATGCCACGTATACCTGCAGGAGCATGGGGCAGACTTCTGACAATCCAGAGCTTTCCCAGAGAGAGGCTCAAATTCAGAGACTGTACAATCCTGAGTTGGGTGGAGAAGAAGAAAGAAATTCAGGATAGTTCCATTCTAGAAACTCTCAGGATATATGTAGTTGGTTAGAAGGTTGTAACTTTAGTTTGGCAAGATTCTGTCCATTAGATGCAACAAATAAAAGATTGAATTCTATTGAATATCGCCGTGCCATCTCTGGGCTTGGGCCCAACATAATTTCACATAAAGGGATTTTATTAATAGTTATCTCTTGGTGGTTAATCCATGTTGATTATAATATATGTGAGGCGCAGCTTCTGAACATCATTATTATTACTCTATTTCTTAGTTCTCACTGTGTTACCAACAACCAAGATCACCCACACATTTCTAAATAATTCCAGACGTTACCTGTAAAAGTAGATCAGTGAAGGACTGGCCCGCACTGCTTCTGCCAGTGAAAATAGAGTTGGCTGCAACAGCCTCCTGTGTGCAGCCTTCCCAAGCTCCATTTTCACTGGTAGATGGCTCCAGGATGTGGTCATGGCTGAAAATGGAGCCTGGGTGGGCCATCATGGCAGAAAATGGAGCCTCGATTGATGTTGAGTTGGCTAAGGCTCCTGGCCATACACCCCCCTCCCTGGAGATCAAACACAACCCTATTGCGGCTCTCAATGAAATTGAGCTTGACACCCCTTCTCTATAAAATAACTTGTCAAAACTTTTTTCCCTTCTGAGCAGTGAACTGAACCAAGAATGTAATTCTGCATTTGGCCATTTTATTTGTTTCAGAAGTTTTATCATGAAAACTGGTTTTGTGCAAATTTATTTTACATTTTGTTAGTGGGTAAATGAAACTTGGGAGATACGATACTCTGGATCTTACAGAAGGAGTCACAGATAAGAAAATGATTGGATAGAAATATTGTGCTTTTTTCAGATTGTGCAAATTACCAACACTGCTTTTAACTAAGGGGGAAAAAAATCTTGCTATGTTTCATCATGAGTGAAATTGGCAGAACTTGTTTCTTAATTTCATGGATGTTTGCTTAAAATAAACCTCAGTTACATAAGATGCAAGTTCATAATACTGTAATTTCTCAGCATGATCCTAAATAGGCTCTGTTGATCGTTAATTCACTCAGGAAATAATTCAGATCTCATTTGTAAAGGATTGCATCAGAGTACAGGAGATATTGACTCTGAACCAAGTTGGATAAAATCTATATTTAAGGGCCAGGTACATCCAAGAAAGGAAACAGGAAGATAAAGAGACTGAATGTTACCCTTCTGATATGTCACCTATGACTTGATTTCCAAAGCCATTCCTGTCATTCATAAAATACAGCCTTCCCTTTCAAAATAGTTGGAATTCGATTCATAGAAGTCAAGATGGAAAAATAAATGTCAGTGAGAGGAAAAGAAAGAAGACAGGAAGGGAAACGATCAAACAGTATGTAAGAATATTGATTGAGAAAATAGAGAAGTAATGAAGCAATACCATTTCTGCAATCATTTATCAGCACTAGTGATAAATTATTCATCTTTTTTTTCTGGTTTCAAACAAGCAGGATGATTCCAACAAAACCCAGCACATAAAGTAGTCATGAGCGCTTTCATTCCAAAGATGAATTGTATTTCTATGCGTTGCACATGAAAAAAACTATCTCATTGAACAATCTGGATATAATGCAGGCATTGCTAATATTAAGATATCCATGCATCATAAGAAAACTGTACATAATGCAAAAATACAAATAAAATAAAAAATAATAATGATGAATATCCTTAGAACAAATGGCACAAACAACTATCAATTTTATTTAGATTTCCATTAGTTTCTTTACAACTCTCTGGAGTGAACCCTAGTGTTTCCCCCATTAGTCTAAGAACAAATTCTTCTCTAGTTTGTATATCATATAACTCAAAATTTGTTAACTTGTTTCAATCCAGGAGAAAAAATATCTGAAACAAGTAAACAGAGAGACACATAGGGAGAGATACAGACATACACACATTCATGTGCACATACAAACACACACTCCTGCCTACACACACACTCCTGCCTACACACACACACACACACACACACACACACAGCACTGAACACTGAACACTACTGTCAAACAACTGGAATTGTATTGGTTTAAGCTCTTCGGATGCACCATTATATGGTTATAACTTTCTGTTACTGTTCAAAGTAAGAAAAACGTTAGTATTGGAAACCTGTAAATATTTTTCAGATTTTGTTGTTGTTTTTACCTTTCTTGTGAGGTCTCACTGAATTATCCCATCCTGTTTATATCCTATGCAAATGAATGAAAGATGCTGATCTAGACTCAATTAATGACTAAATGTTGGGAGTGAGATGGTGGTACTGTGTCATCTCTCTCTCTCTCTCTCCCTCTCCCTCTCCCTCTCCCTCTCCCTCCCTCTCTCTCTGCCCTCCTTCCCTCCCTCTCCCTCTCTCCCCATCTCACCCTCTCCCTCTCCCCTTCTTTCCCATCCCTCCCTCTCCCTTCCTCCCTTTCCCCATTCTTCCCTCCCTCCCTCTCTCCCCCTCTCCCTCCCTCTCCCTC